GAGGAGGCTCCTGCTGCTGGTGCCGCAGCCGCTGCTGCCTGCGGACCGGCTGGGGGCTGAGCACGGGGATGTGTCCCACGAGGCGCAGGGGAGAGCCCGGGCTGGGGATTTCAGAGCAGGGAGATGCTGGCTGCTGTCCCAGGGCCGGGAGATGGTGCTTGGGAGGCGCAGCTGGCACGGGAAAAGGCACCACGGCCTCCGAGGGGATGAGGAAGGCGGGCACAAAGCCGTAGGAGAGATCGAAGGCTTTGGGGGCTACTCCACTCCGTAACGGGGCAAGGCGGGCAGGTGGTGGGCTAGCCGGGGCACCTGGGCACTTAGTGGGGCCCGCAGGGTCCCTCCCCACCTGGTCCTTCTGCACCTGGTCCTTCTGCACCTGCTCCTTCTGCACCTGGTCCTTCTGCACCTGGTCCTTCTGCAGCAGCTCCTGCAGTTTCTCCAGCTGCGTCCGGCAGATGTGGGAGCGTGTGCGGCTCTGGCAGAAGGACTCCAGAAAGGATTCAAGGGGCAGGTCCTGGGCCAGGAACTGCTCTATCTGTACCTGTAGGATGGACAGTAGGACAACATCAAGCCAAGAGAGCCATAGGACCACAGAGGGAGCACTCCTGGACCCTTGGACTCTTCTCCAGACCCTGGCATGTGGGAAGACATGGAGAGCAGTCCAGGGCCCAGGCAAGGAGGGGACAGCAGCACAGGGGTCTCAGATGACTCACCTCTGACTCTGCTTCGGAGGCATCAAGCTTGGCTTGGAGCTGGCCCAGGGCGCTCTGTGGGTTCCACTTCTCCAGGTAAGCCTCTGTGTGTCAGAAGGGGATGGGGCTGCCAACCTGCCAACTTTCCCCTGGATGTCCCCACTTGCCATCTTTCCCACCCCGAAGCATCAGCTCCCCCCTACTTTGAACTGAAACACCCCTAAACACATCCCTGGTGCCACCTGCACACCAAGGCCTGCATTCCACCTTGGCTCTATGGCTGCTCAGAGAAGCTGTGGCTGCCCCATCCCTGGAAGTGTCCAAGGCCAGGCTGGACGGGGCTTGGAGCAACCTGGTCTGGTGGAAGGTGTTCCTGCCCGTGGCATGGGGAGGAAACCAGATGAGCTTTAAGGTGTCTTCCAACCCAAACCATTCTGTGATTCTGTGACTGGTCCCAGCTGCGGGTTCACTGTGTCAGAGGCATCACTCCTGATCATGACTGGACCATTTCCCCAGGGCAGGTTCAAAGATGCTGAGCCCACCTGGACCCTCATATTAATACAGGTTGCTCCAGCAATCCCAGGCTCTGCCCAATCCCATCGGCTGCACCCCACTCACCCAGGCGCTGCTGCTTGTCCCAACATGCCTCTCGGATCTCCCGCAGCTCCTGGTACTTGATGGCCAGGGAAGCCTTCCCGTCCTCCAGCCGTGGGCGCAGGGACAGGTTCACCCTGGCCTGGGTGCAGTTTGAAGCCAAACACATCTCCCGCTCCTGCTGCAGGCTCTGGAACTGTGGGTACAGGAGCGTGGGATGTGTCAGCACTGGGAGAAATGGGCAGAACCAGGCAGATCCAGCAGCCTGCTGGGCGGGGGTCCGAGTCCATCCAGGGGCGAACCGCCCCTTCCTGCCTCTGCTCTGCCTAGAGCATCCCGGGGGGATGCAAAGCCTGGCGCCGGGCTACACACGGAAACCCTCCCCCGCCGGCTGCCCTTTTTCTTCAGGAAAAGGGCTCGGCAGCGGGCATGGGTGTCGAGGGGGACACACGCACCCTCCCCTCGCTGCGCACACACTGGAGGGGATTCCAGAATAACCTGCGCCCGCTCCCGCAGCGGAGCCGGGAGCGCGCGGGGCTCATCCCTCATCCCGGCTGCGCGTTGCGAGGCCGGGCTGGAAGGCGGGCGAAGGGCCGGGGCCTCCCCAGATCTCGAGGCTGCGGGGGACAGCGGATGGGTTTGGTGGCTGTGGGTTTGGTGGCCCGAGGCTGCAGCACAGGAGCCCCGCGCAGCCGTGGCCGGGACGCCCGAGCCGATGTTCCCCCGCCCTGCCGGTGGATTCTGCGGCTCCTCCGGAGCCCCCGGGATTACGGGGGTCAAGGAGGGGGCAGCGGGCGGCGGGGCTGGGACGGGCGGGGGATGCTCGGCCCTGCAGCGCCGGTGCCCGGGCCGCGGGCGGCTCCACCTTGCGCACCGGGACAGCCCCGCTGGGGCGAGCGGCGACGGCTCGGCCCCGCCGGCTGCGGGACGCGGTCCCCCCCGATCCCCCTCGATCTCCCCCCAGTCCCCCTCGATCCCGCCTGCCCCCCGTTACCTTCCTGCTGAGGCGGGCGGCGCGCTGCAGCCGCGACTCGTCCTGCAGCAGAGCCCGGAGCTGCGCCGTGCTCAGCGCCCCGAGGCGGCGCGGGGAGCCGGGCGGCACCGCGGGCCGGGACATGGGCCGGGGCCGGGATTGGGATCGGGATCGGGACCGGGATCCCCCCCCGCCCCCGCCGCCGGGAGCCGCGCGCGCCCCCCGCGCGCCGCCCCCGCCGGTCTTAAAGGAGCCGCAGCGGAGCACGGGGCGCTCCCGCACAGCACCGCACCGCACCGCGCCGCCCCCGGCCGGGGCACACACCGGCACTGCTCCCGCACCGCCCCCGGCCGGGGCACACACCGGCACTGCTCCCGCTCCGCGCACCCTGCGCACCCGATACCCCACTGTGCGCACCCGATACCCCGCTGTGCCCACCCCGCTGTGCCCACCCGATACCTCCCTGTGCCCACCCCGCACCCCGCTGTGCCCACC